TATATAAAGGATATTTGTTTGTTTGTGTGTAAGATGAAATTTTATTTCCTCGAGTGAGCTTTAAAAACAGTATAAATACACAACAAACAAACAAAATTTCTTTTTATTTTATGCTTAAAAACAAGTTTAAATGAAATTTCCTCAATATTAACTTTACTTTTACACTGGTAGCCTCATTTTAGTCGACTTACAAAAAGTTTTTAGCTGAAAAACAAGTTCGACAATCAACGTTAAATGCCGATAATATTATTTATTTTATTCCAAAAACATGAATGATCCCTTGTTTTAAAAATTGAATCAAACAATTCTTATAGAAGTAAAGGTCACAACATCCGACCTTATGTCCGTTACTTACGGCGACTTTATATTAAACCAGACTTTCAGTTATATAAGCGGCCGCAATAATTTAAAGTTGTGTATTTCACATGAGGAAAAAAAGTGCTTGATTCAGAGGGATATCATTTGGATTTGTTAATCATATATCTTATTATAAGAACGGAAACTTATTTGAGGTTGTTACACACAATAAATAATTTTGGCAGATGTGTAAATATTCAAAAAGCGGGTACGAATTAGGAAAACATGGAATTGTTGGAAGGCTGTCTTATGAACGCTTGGTTGTTTACTTATTCTTCGGGCCGATGACTGTCTTTGGAGGATACTTAAATATTCCCAAAAGTCATTAAGAGCAGTTCTGCATATGGAAGAAAGTGTATTTTCCAGACTGTAAAAATGAAACAAAAAAATTAGAGACGATACAGTAAAGACTTTCTCAGTGACCCCCTGTTTATAGCGACGTTCTGTCTTTAGTGACCATAGTTAGGTGCGCCGAACAGTTTTTACTATATAAATGGTCTGTATGTAGCGACTCCCTGTCTAGTCCGTACAACGACCGTGATTTAGTGTCTCCCATTACGGTATATAGACCGTGCATAGCGACTTTTGCAAGGGGAGTAACTCGAATAAACCTATTTTATTGTATTGTTGGAGTTATTCGTCCTGTGCGAATTGCATTGTGGTTAAAATGGCGGCGAAAAGAAAATTCCTTTCGTTAGAGGAAAAATGTAGTGCCATAAAACTGCTTGAAAATGGCATGCCGGCCTATAAAGTTGCAGAACAACTTGGCGTTGGAAAAACGCAGATTCAAAACTTACGGAAACGAAAATCGGAGGTCATGACTGATGTGGAGAACAATGTTCCTTTATCAACAAAACGACGTCGACATTGTACAGGTAACAGAGTATTCATTTGGAAAATAAAAAAAACTTTACTGATTTCGTGGTTTGTTGAATGCATTAATAGCGAAATGGCGAGATCAAGTGTTCTTAGCCTATGAATCACTAGAAATAAAAATAAACACTTGTTCTTGAATTGTGTTTGAACACTTGTTTGTTAGAATTTATTGTGTATGCATGTAGGCTACATGTATTTTTTTCTTACCAATATACCTTTATAATTCACAGGCAATGAGGATATCAATCACCTAACTTATGAAGGGTTCAAAGATGCAGTTAGTCGGAGAATTCCGGTTACAGGTCCAATGCTTCAAACCAAAGCTTCCGAGTTTGCCAAGCAACTTAATGTAGACACTTTTAAAGCTTCTAAAGGTTGGCTGCAAAGTTTTAACACCAGAAATAATATATCTTTTGGTACAATGAGTGGCGAAAGGGGAGATGTAAAAGAACAAACTGTTTCGGATTGGAAAAAAAATTTCCCAATTTATGTGAAGGTTATGAGGAAAAGGACATTTTCAATATGGATGAATCTGGGCTATTTTTTAAAGACACCCTTCGCAAAACATTACATTTTCAATCTCAAGACTGTGCAGGTGGCAAGAGATCCAAAGATCGCATAACTATAGCCTTGTGTTCGAGCATGCTTGGGGAAAAACTGAAAGCATTAGTGATTGGTAAATATCGAAGCCCAAGATGTTTCGGAAGGATTGATCCTAAAATGTTGCCTGTTCATTACTACCACAACAAAAAAGCATGGATGACAAGCTATATCTATGAAGATTTCCTGAAAACAATTAATAGACAAATGAAAAATGAAAAAAAGAAACATTTTGTTGTTTGTGGACAATGCCCCTAGCCACCCAAATTTATCATTTAGCAACATGAAGGTTGTGTATTTCCCACCTAATACAACCTCCAGAACCCAGCCGATGGATCAAGGAATCATCCAAACTACCAAACTGAAATTCAGAAAACGTCAGGTAAAGTAAAAAAAAATTATTTGAATACAGTACAATTCATTAATTTGTTTGTAATTTTTAATGTGTCAATAATTATGTTTGTTAAAAATCATTTAATACAGTTAGGCTAGTCCCTAACAATTAATTTACACTCATGACAGTGTTTTGTTATTTTTCTTTTGCAAGAGTTTTTCACACTTCTGCTATTGTTATCGTTGCAGCTATTACACCTTACCAAAGAAATAGACAGGCATCCAACAGCAACAGGCACAGATCTCCTAAAACAGATTACCATCTTGGATGCCATTTATTGGTTAAAAAAATCATGGAATGAAGTTGAGGGCTCAACAATTAAAAGGTGTTTTGAAAAGTCTGGCTTTGGGACAGCTTCTGCACAGTTGCTGGATGGAGATTCTACATCATTAGACAGGACAGATCAAGAACCATCTGTGAATGATCAAGCCGGTGATGACAATGACGATGATGATGTGCCACTTGCATCATTAAAACTAGCATATGAGCTGTTCGGCTGTTCTTACAAAGAACTGTCATCCATTGACAAGCTTGTGCACACATGTGACACCAATGCTATGGATTGGAGTTTGAATCCACATGACATTCTCAAAAATCAAAGAAATCAAAACGGTTCCATCTCGAGTGATGAGGAAGAGACTCCTGACTTGCAAACTGCAACTTCAAGCATTTCACTCAGTGATGCTCATGATATGGTCACCAAACTCAAACTTTTTACTGTCAAGTCTGGAAATGTATCTCTCATGAACACAATTGATGAGTTGAATGAACAACTGACACTAATGTCTGTGATGAAATTAAAACAAACAAAAATCAGTGATTTTTTTAATAAGCAGAGAACAAATTGAACAACATTTTTTCCTAACAATTTTTATTACATGTATATCAAAAGAATACTTAATCTTTATTTAGTTTAATTTTTATTCTACTGTATGTGTATAATTGTAGATAGTGTGTTTTATCAGTTAAATTGATTTTAAATAATGTATTTGTTACAAACAGCTTTATCAATATAAACAAGCAATTATCATAGTATTGCAAGCAATCCATAAGTCCCCTACCGGTAAGAGCCCAAGCAACATTCTGAAGGGCCATTCACTTAGGTTCCTATTTAAAGTAAATTTGTTGAAAAAGTTCTTTAAAAGTGATCGCAGGAAACAGTTTTTATGTACAGACAGACAGACTGAAGGACACTCTAAAGTTATTTTTTAAACATCCCTGTTATCAAAATATAACATTTTTAAAATCCTGTCATGATTGAAGAAGTTGGAGTAAAAATTACCAATTTCTCAAAAAAAAGTCTAAGTTCAAAAAGGGCATAATTCTGGAAATAGTCTTGCTAGAGTATTGAACACTCACAAATGTTGAGTGACAATAAGAAACATTTATAAGAAGTTTGAAGTAGATACATTCAGAAAAAGAAGTTATTAAAAAAAACAATGTTTTTTTCATGAAAATTTTAAGTTCAAGGGAGGTAATTCTGATAAATTTTGTACTAGAGTTGTAAACCTTGTCACATATGATGTGGTTGATGACAAGCAACTTATATTTAAAGTTGAAGAAAATACCTTAAGAAATAAAGAACTTATAGTGAAAAAACTTAAAAACTAGAATAAGAAATCTTGAAATTCAGTCTATTTGTTGCCATAGCAACCAGAATTTCAACATAGGAAGATAAGAAAAGAAAGTGCATAATTTCCATACTGCCATCTACCCATATGTCAAGTTTCATAAATAAATTTTCAGTACTTTTTGTGTTATCACTGGATCCAGGTTATGTGTAAAAATTTTCCATATTTTCAGTCTATTTGTTGCCATAGCAACCAGAATTTTCAACATAGGAAGAAAAGAAAAAGACGTGCATAATCTCCATACTGCCATCTATCCATATATCAAGTTTCATAAAAATATTCAGTACTTTTTTTGCGTTATCGCGGGATCCAGTTTATGTGTAAAATTTGTCATATTTTCAGTCTATTTGTTGCCATAGCAACCAGAATTTTTCAACATAGGAAGAAAAGAAAAAGACGTGCATAATCTCCATACTGCCATCTATCCATATATCAAGTTTCATTAAAATATTTTCAGTACTTTTTGCGTTATCGCGGGATCCAGTTTTGTGGACGGACGGACTGACGGACGGACAGACGGACGGACTGACGGACGGACGGACAGACGGACGGAGGGTAAACCTAAAGTCCCCTCCGGTAAACCGGTAGGGGACTAATAACATTTTTAATCTATAAGTTACTTTTAAATTTTTAAATACTAAATACTTAAATACTTATACTATGTCTTACTTCATATTCTTAACAAAGTATGCATGTTATTTTAATATTGTCTTGTTTTTTATAAATGATAAAATTATGTGATATGCTTAATATGTGTTTAATATAAATAAAAATGTAAATAAATCCTAAGTATGGTACTATCCTGCTTTTCAACAAAATATTGGCAAAATATGTTCATATAATCAAATTATGTAGAGACTGTTAACAGTGACTTCCTGTCTATAGTGACTTTTTTTCTTTTCTCCCATCGAAGGTCACTGTAAACAGTTTTTACTGTATTTGGTGATTGATGATTTGAATGAATTGAAGTAAAAGTTTTCTATGCATTACTTTTGAATTTTAAATTATTTATAAATTCCATCTTTGCTTTTCTCCAAACAGCCCTGACAATGTCAGAATTGTCAGCAAAAATAACATTGAGGTACCACATTGGGAAAATCTTAAAACAGTAGTTTCGTCATTGAAAAGTGTGAAATTATATTTTTATAATTTTCATTGTGAAATTATCAAATATAATTATCTTTGCCTATTTTGCAAATGACAAAATGAAAATCATAAATGGATAATCGCTACCTGGAAATAGACTTGTAATGTTATCCGAAACTTACGCTTGTCAGTAAATAATGTGTTTAAGATGTATCTTTGCCTTCATTCTCCCTAGTAAATTGTAATATTTACAACAGCAGTTGTGTGTATGTTTACCCTCTGTAGTCGCCTGACAGGCTTGTAGATACATTGTATAACATTTAATGACCGCGAAAGTATAGAAGAGCACTATAAAACACACAATGATTGAGAGAACTATCATAAAGTATTCTAAGGGTTAAAAGAGATGTCATTATTTATCATAACGAATAAGAACAATTAACCACAACACTTAATGCGCGAGGGGAATTATATTTGATAAAAAAACTTTCTTTTATACCGCATATTAAACATTTGAAAACTAAATGCCTAAAAGCTTTAAATTAACTTAAGGTTTTATCAAGTACAAATTGCGGATCAAATTCTTCCACATTACTGAAACTATACAGAAGTCTTATCCGATCAAAATTAGATTATGGTTCTGTAGTATATGGGTCTGCAAGAAAATCATATCTTCAAATGCTAGATACCATACATCACCAGGGTTTACGTTTAGCTTTAGGCGCTTTTCGCACTTCACCTGTAGAAAATCTATATGCGGAAGCTGGGGAACCATCGCTTTATCTTCGTCGTAAAAAGCTATCACTTCAATATGCAACTAGAATTTCATCTAATAGAAAACATCCAGCTAAAAATATTATTTTCAAACCAAGTTATACTGAAAAATTTGTTAACAAACCAAAGGAAATTAAACCATTAGGCCTTCGTTTAAAAGATGATTTAGACAAACTTAAAAATTAATCCAGACAGTATCCTTCAAAATGACGATGAGGATGTTCCACCTTGGACTTATAATTCCCCGGAAATAAATATTAACCTTTCAAATATAAAAAAGGCATCAAATTCACCTGAATATTTCAAAGAGAAGTTTCTAGCAATTAAGGAAGAACATGAAGATTTTTATACATATTTATACGGACGGTTCAAAAAGAAGGTTGCAAAGTAGGTGCGGCTGTGTTTGAAAATAATTTTACATCTAGTATGAGGTTACCAGATAATGCATCAATTTTTACTGCTGAAGCAAAAGCTATTAATTTAGCATTGTCATACATAGCGCAGCATACCCACGATAAATTTGTGATATTGTCTGACTCGCTTTCTGTTTTAATATCCATTAAAAATAAAAAATCTGACAATATTATGGTAAAGAAACTTCTTTTACGACTTCATAATATACTAAAAACAAAATATGTTAAATTATATTGGATTCCAAGCCATGTAGGAATACGAGGAAATGAAAAAGTAGATGCTTTAGCTAAACAATCATTAAATTTTCGAAAAACTGACTTATTGTTACCTGCTTGTGATTTTAGACCAGCTATAAATAAACTCGTATCATCTGAATGGAAAGCAAATTGGGACAATGCCGTTTTTAATAAACTTCACGATATAAACCGATTTCTTGATATGTCACCATCTCTATCTCTGTCAAACCGCCGTGATCAAACAGTTCTTCTTCGATGCCGAATTGGACACACTAAAATTACCCACTCTTATCTCCTCACAAATGACAATGCCCCTTTCTGTGTAGGTTGTAATGAAAATTTTACTGTCAAACATTTTCTTCTTGAATGTCATGATTTTTCACAGGCCCGTTATAGATTTTATTCTGTAAATTCACTCAAAGAACTTTTTAATACAATTCCATCAAAGAACATAATTGATTATTTAAAAGAGATAAATTTGTATTCTAGGATCTAATTTGCTCATTTCTATTGTCATTAACAATGTTTTACATAATATTTTAAGCCTATTATAGCACTCGGCACGATATGGCCAGTTATGTGTTGACGTGCCGTAAAAATCCAAACAAACAAACAAACAATAATGCGCGAGGGATCTATTAAATGTTATCGTAAATGACATTTAGTCTCGGCAAAACAATATAAAACATTTAGATAATTGTTGTACATGCATATTATCCTAATGATTGACAGATGTGTCATTTTTATCCTAATGGATAAGAGCAATGAATCAAAAACAATAAAACACTAAATGAGCGAGGAAACTATCAGATAATTATCCCTAGGGTTGAGAGAGAAGTCATTTTGTTTGCTAATGGGTGGAAGCAAGCAGCTATGAACCTTATAATGAGTTAGAGAATTATTATAGAAAAGAACATTATTTCTTCAAAAGTACATTGGATGTCAAGCTTAGGGTTTATCTTTTGAATCCTGAGTCGGTCCAGGCCTTTAGCCTTTGTTTGAGGGTGGAAAATACGATTCGAATAAAAAATTATAATAGTTCCTCACTCATTATGTGTTACATGGTGCTTATCGCACAATTCAATTGTAGAGAAGCATAATTTATATAATCATGTCAGTATTTCAACATATATGTTTATATACATACGATATTCTCATTCTGGACCAGTACTCAGCGGGAGATCCCCGGAAAGACAAACATGAGGATGTATACTTTGTGATTGATCAGTAAATTTAATTTCAACACATATGTGTGCGTTTTCGTGTAATTGTCAATAACAACATAGATTATTAAAGATTTTCAGACTGACAGGCTATATCACCTTAGAGAATCCTCTTGCTGAACTTATCATTGTAAAGAAGTTATGATTAATGACTGATTTGAGTTTTGTTGTTGTTTGTGTTTAAAACCATGTTTTGTTGTGTTTTGTATATAAAACCATTATATGACAAGTCATATTAAAGAATATATTTTGTTCATTCCGTATGCACTGCTTCCGCTTCTTAGACAATTGTTATTCCTAAACCAAAATGTCGGAATTGCTCTGTTTTCTGGCCTTGTCATCTTGTTGTTATGTCGCTAGCGAAACATGCCCATTGGCAGGTTGTCTCGCGGTGTGTGGCGCATGACATTGTCGCTTGACTCAAATGGAAGAAAGGGCTTAATTATGTTCTGTTGCTGGCGACAACGACTCGAGCCATGCGGTAACACAGTAAGAAGTCATTCCTTCGATATAAGCCAAGCGACATGGGGACATGTTTTGTGGTGCCAAGCTAAAATAATGCGATAAACGACAACGCAACGTGCGAAAGTGTAACATATCAGCCACCATTTAAATGACAAGAAAGAGGTCAAAATATGCAAA